ACGAAATCTTTGATCGATTCGACATCAAAAGAGACAGAATATCTTATCGATGTCTTTTGCCTTTCATTGCCTTTTATCGATTAGATTTGTCTATTTTTTATTTCTTTTTAATTGCTGATGTTTTTCTTTCGTCTTTTCTTGCATTGGTTCTTTATTTCTTTTATGATTCTTTTTGCTTTACTTTTGCCTTTCATCTTCTTTTTCTCTTTCTTTTTTCACTCATTCCTTCATTTATTCCCTAATGCTTCTTCTTTTCCTCTTCCATTTATTCTTTTCTCCAATTTACTAATTTTTTTTCTTTGAATTTTGATACTTTTTCCTTCTTTACTTTTTATTTTTACCTAACATCATTTTTTTATTATCGAATTTTTTTTATTTCTTTTTCTTATTTTGTCCTTACTTTCTCGTTCCTTTTTCATTCTTTGTTTTTCCTTCTTTTTGTTTTCTTTTTCTAATTTTTTCATTTTATTTTATTTTTTTACTTTTTATATCCATCTTTCTTTTCCTTTTCTTTCTTGATTTTATTTTTCGTTCCTGTGCTTAATTTTCTCTCAATTTTTCTTTTATGCATTTTCTTCTCTCTTCTTTATTCTTTTGCACTTCCATTCTTTCTTTTTCTTTCTTTTTTCTTTTTTCTTTTATTGTTATTTCCTCTTCTTTTTATCTTTTATCTTTCCTTTCTTACTTTCTTCAACTGCATGTTTCATTTGATCGTTTTTTTACATTTTTCTCCTTTTCTTCATTCTTTTTTTTAATCATTAGTTTTATATTCTTTCTTCCTTAGAGTTGTTTAATTCCTTCGTCATTTATTTTTCCTTTACAATTGTTTTCTATTTCTTTCTTTTCACAATCTGTTCTTTCTTTCTTTCTTTTTTTCTTTCTTTCTTTCTTTCTTTCTTTCTTTCTTTCTTATAGCCTTTATTTACTTATAGCCTTCTTTCTTCCGTTCTCCTCCCAGTTCTATTTTTACTTTGCCATCCCAATTCTTTCTTTCTTTCTTTCTTTAGTTTTTCGTTTCTTTTTCTTCGTTCTTTTTGCTTCCTCTGCTTGTTCTTTCTGTCGTCTTCCCTTCCTCCCGTCCTCCTTTCCTTTCTTTACACTTCGTACTTTCTCTTGCTGTTTATTTTAATTTTTTTCTTTCTTTCGCTCACTCTTAATTGCTTTGTCTTTTCTTTCTTTCTTTCTTTCTTTCTTTCTTTCTTTCTTTCTTTCTTTCTTTTAGCCTTTATTTACTTATAACTTTCTTTCGTTCTCCTCTCAGTTCTATTTTTCGCTGTGCCATCCCAATTCCTTCTTTCTTTCTTTCTTTCTTTCTTTCTTTCTTTCTTTCTTTCTTTCTTTCTTTCTACTTCACAGTTTCATCGTTTCCCCTTTTTTTTTCACGCAATTTATAGTTTCATTATACTTTTTTCATTTTTAGAAAACATTTTCTCTTGTTATTTTCCCCCTCCTCTTTTTTGTTCTTCACTTCGTCCGCCATCAATCTCTTTTTTCCTTTGTCGTGTCGCCATTTCTGCCTTGCCGATCAGATCCATTAACTCAGGAGTGGGTTTCAATCCCCAATCCCTAATGGCCGGCCTTCATCAAAAGATCTCTTTGCGTGATCCAGCCTTGGAGCCCGACATGCAGATACAACAAAATGGCCGTCATTACAAACAACGAAGCTCCCAAATCCATACGGCGGGAAATGGAAAACAAAGGACAAATTTCCTGAAGGGTGCGTGCTTAGCCAACCATCTTAATGCCGGCACATTTGCTTAACGATCGCGGAATTTTGCAACATCGACGTAGAAAGCCGAAGAGAGAAAGAGAGAGAGGGAAAAAAAGGGAGAGAGAGAGAGAGATAAGCAAATAGGATAAACATTAGATGCAACCGAACAGTAAAAGGCAGTTAAAAAAACAGCTAACGACAGCTGCATCGAAAGGCAGGAAGCAAACATCTCCAATATCTCAGTTCAATCAAAGGTCGGAATACATTTCATAAATTAAGATCCTCAAAGAGACAAGAAAAAACAGACATTGGATGCCTACTTCATTGTTGTTCGGTTCAAAATGTTCGGTGGATCCCCAAAGAGGATAGATTTTAAGTAAAAGCGAGATGGCCTGAGAGAATCAATATTCAGAGCAGGATCAACAAAAGAGCAAAGAAAGATTTAAGAGCAAATACTTAAATGTTGAAACATGCCATGATCAGATAGATAGATAGATAGATAGATAGATAGATAGATAGATAGAAATAAAACTGAAAGACCCTGACTATGTGTTTGCATTTCATCAAGATTAAATCTACTGGTAATATAGCTGGATTACAACAAATTATTACATTTACAGACCCGCATGTGAACAGGTTCCAAAGTAAGGCCGGTATAGACAGCACTCAAACTCGATAACAATACATTGTATATCCTCTTTGGGAACTTTTTATCACTCCCGCATGCATATCGTTGTATAGAGGGTGAATAGTATCATATGGTGCATTATTCCATATTTTTTTCACCCGAGGCCCATATCAAGTTGAAATAACGTTTTTTCGTTCAATCACCGAAATTAAGCCACGTTGAATCTGGTCAGTTCCTAGATGGGTGACCGTTCGGTAATATGTTCAAGTGGTGTAATGGATAAAACTCAAAATGAGAAATCGGAGATCCGAGTTCCAATTCCAGTTGGGTTCGTTATATATCGTACTTACGTGCACATACCTCTGGGAAAAGTATGAATCCACCCAGCTATGGGTTAAATAGTAAGACTTATATCAGAATATCATTATTATCCTCAAGTTATTTTACATACTAAAAATATGCTTCGTCTTTTCAATGATCTCAGAAAGGTTGATATATCGTAAAAAACAATTTAGTCAATCTTTCCTGCACCTGATGATGCCATATAGCAATAGTTGTAGTCGGGCTAACTGAATTAATCAAGCATCATCCCATCAAGTTCTATTTATATTTAATGAGGGAGGTAGGTTTAGCCAGAGAAGATTTTGAAAATCTTGAAGAATATGTTGATTAGTACGGGCATAATGTAGGTAGGTATTATCCTTCTGGGACAGGACCTCGATTTCCCGTCACATGAATAGCAACAGAACGAATTAAAATGCTTTCTAGATGTAAATGGAGTTGTTCAAAGTTCCCTCTACTATTATCAAAGTCAAGTGAGTGTTTAATTTAAACCAGCCTATATAATTATGTCACGGACTGGGCTTGCGCGAATACAATCTCAAAATTGTCCATGACGTACACTCAATCGACCATCTCTTACAAGAAGGCAGAACCCGCTCTCACCTTTTGATCCCTGAGCCTATCGTCTCACGATACCGCTGGAGACGTGGTTGATGATCCTGTGGTGGATGTAGAAGTCTTCCTCGGGGCAGATGCACCTGTATTTATGCTGCATATAAACGGTCCCAAGTGATCAGAATTGATATTCCTAGGGATATATGTGCTCTGATTCGTATTGTAAATATTATATACTCTTCTACTATTGTCCATATGACAAATCAGTATTGACATGCATCTGTAATACGTGGCCGTTCAGAACCTGGTCTATTTGTATAGAAATGTTCCTTTGACCAACGTTGCTCACACTGAAGCACCACCGATGCCTCATCTACAGCATCGCAGCAGTTCTACGAAACGGCCATCGAGTATTGAACTACTATGTAATATCAGTCCTCCTATATGGCACTGAGTGCTGGACAATCTTCTCACAAATGAAGAAGAGGTTTGAGGCAACAGAAATGTGATTCTACAGAAGGATAATGAGAATACCATGGAAACTTAATACCAGAAAGAAACAGTTTAAATTTCTAGGGCACGTAATGGGGAAAGAGGGCTTGGAAAATTTGATACTCACAGGACAAATGGAAGAGAAGAGGGACAGAGGGGGGGAACCACGGAAAACCTACCTATGGCAAAACACGATTTAAAAAAAATGATAAAATTTATTAAGAGCTACAGAGGATAGGAAATTGAGGAGAGCCGTGATCTCTAACGTCCTGAAAGGGCATGGCACGTAGAAGAAGAATATGCACTGACTAAACCCATGTTAATATCGGCCTTCAAATTTTCCTCCAGTTTAGATGAAAATGAATAGATGAAGGCAAATGCATATAAAATATATATAAAAGAAATTAGATATAAAATTAAAATTATATTTTATTATGCAAGTCGATCTTTTTACAATAAAATTACTATTAGACAAGAGATTTTGGCAGAAATTTCAAGATCTAATTATATTGTGTAATAAATATATCTTATAATAAATAATTATCAATTTGATTGTTGTTCATTATATTATAGATAAATGTAATATTGTATATATATATATATATATATATATATTATTTAAATGTCAGACATGTAACGAAAGAAGGTTAATGTTTTCTTTCGTTACAAAAAAACAACATAAAAACAACATAAAAACAAGATAGAAAAAGATATTCTCTTTGCGTAATAAAACCTGACACCCATAAAACAAGCTCTTATCAATATTTTAATAAGCCGAGATATGCGAAGGCTCACATGATAGTTTGTTCATTTAAATATATCATACTTACATTTTTTCTTGATATCGGTTTAATACCATTTTTATTTTGAGAACTTAGACCTGCAGAATAAAACATGGCGTTGCGTAATCTTTAGTTTAGTTTAGTTCGACACAAGTATGGGATCGAACTCTCGACTCGGTTATTGAGTTATAGTAACACAATTTTGTAAATTGTTTAAATTTGAACTGAGATCAAGGAACAAACGGAAAACAATTGCAAACATTGCCAATAAAGGAACATGAAAGAACTGGTTTTAAAAATGTCATAAAAGTGATTTTTAAAGAATTTTAACAGAAAAGAAAAGAAAATGTGGATAGGCCAGCAAGAGAAAAAGGTCAATTGATCAACAAGTACATATTTATTGAAGCTGCAGTTGCCTATGTAGACAATAAGTAATGGTGTAATTTTGTGATGACTGTAAAGCTATATTGGATAGACCTGATTAGTTGATTAACATTTGAATGGCGAATCGTCAAACAACACAACTTAAAAAAGCTATTTTGAATAACAATGTTGAGCATTTACTATTGGAGACAGTATAATATAGATCCTGTCAAAGTTGATGATGATCGTCAAACGACATAACTTAAAAAGAAATCTGTCTATATTTCTGAGATGAGGCATTGTAATTATTTTCGCTATTTACATTGTTCGGACACGTCTTCATCTTTGTTGCCATATTCACGACGTTTCGACCGGTGTACACTCCGGCTTTCTTCAGGTGATTGGAATTTCGAAGCGAGCCTATTATTTCGTCCACCAGAGTAGATTGTTCTAGTTTCACGTGACATGCTTCTTGCATTGAACTCACAGCTCTTTGGGTTAAGTCACTGGATTCAACTAAGTCTTTTATATGGAGGGAAAAGGGAGATCACAAAAAAAGTCTCCAAATTTTATACACAGGACACATAGTCGATTGGTTAAAAGTGTTGGTTGAAATCAGTGACGTAACCCAGTTCAATACAAGAGGCATGGTACGTGGAACTAGAACAATCTACCCTGGTGGACGAAATAAAGTGTTTGGTTCGAAATTCCAATCACCTGAAGAAGGGCAGATTGTACAGCGGTGGAAATGTTGTGAATATGACAACAAAGATAAAGACAACAGTCCGAAAAATGTAAATAGTGTAAATAATTAAAAAAAAAAGGTATTTTGAATAATGTTGAGCATTATTATTGGAGGCAGTGTAAGTAGAGATCCCTTCAATAATAATGATGATGTCAAAATCAATGCAGATAATTATTATTTGTTGGACAAGATTTTTGAGTGGTTCACGTTTATGCTAACGAATGCAAGACAATAGTCACTCTCATTCACATTCAACAATGACTATTGCTCACCTTGCCAAAAAGTTTCAAAGACATCAAGTACATTTAATGGCCAACTGTCATCTCCAGATATGAACCCACTAGAAAACTTAGTTTCTAACATTAAAAGTTAGATCTGAGGAAGCAATAAAAACTAGAGAAACTACGACAAAAGTTAAAACCAGTCCTGGGTAAGACGATAAACTACGGCCAACAGCAAGGAGGTTTTGAGGAGCGTGTAACAACTTCTTAATTTCTGGTGTTCCCATGTCCCCCTTGACCTGGAGTGGTGGCACCTGTCAGGGTCCAAGCTATGGGCAAATAGTTAACGCTAAACACTATGAAAATATAAAAATAAGTTTTAATACCAGCAATACCTTTTTGGATTTTTGAAGATAAAATTATTCCCTGCAAGACATTATTACCCGCAGAACATCTTTTTAAAAAAAATACTACCAGCAATACATTTTTAGGGAAAAATATTTTCGGCATTAAATAACCCATTGAGGTTTGATATGCCGTAAAACAAAAGAAAACAAATAAAAGTTAAAACTTGAGAAAAGTTATTAAAATCAATGAACGAAATATTGATGAAGGCTATAAAATGTCAATGAAGTAAAATAAGAAAATAATTAATTATTCAGGGATATAAGATAATGTGCTAATCAAATACACATTTGAATGGACTATATCTTTTGCATTTATTTATAAAGAAAAAAGAAAAATCATATCTCTCTTTGCGTAATAAAACCTGACACCCATAAAACAAGTTCTTATCAATATTTTAATACGCCGAGATATACGAAGGCTCACATGATAGTTTGTTCATTTAAATATATCATACTTACATTTTTTCTTGATATCGGTTTAATACCATTTTTATTTTGAGAACTTAGACCTGCAGAATAAAACATGGCGTTGCGTAATCTTTAGTTTAGTTTAGTTCGACACAAGTATGGGATCGAACTCTCGACTCGATTATAAAAGGTCAGCAAAATGAGCTTGTATATCATTACCCGATCCTAGAAATGACCAGATCACGCATTGTGGCAATGACAAAAACAGGAAGAAAGTTTACAGAAATGGTGAATAAAAAACGAAAATTTGATCATCTATGTGACCATCAAAATGTCCGGCGGTCCTAATTATAACAGATCCAGCCTACAGCTCAGTTTTGTGAGCGAAACGAGACAAAACAAAAAGCTGCTCGTCAAGAATATGAAGAAATAAAGTAAAAACCAGAAGGAATTTGGTAGAAGGTTTCTTCTTAGAAGATTTCCTCTGAAGGAAAAAGAGCAAAGGATGTGCAATTAAATGATACACCTCCTGAGATAGATAGATAGATAGATAGATAGGTAGATAGATAGATAGATAGATAGATAGATAGATGAAGCAGTACTTTAATCCTGTCTTTTGATGTTTTGCTTGGTGGTTTAATCATATGTCAGTACACTGCGGCAGTTCGTTAAACAAGCAAACACCTTGCAGGTAAGATTACGAAGCCAACCTGCACCCCCTCCAAATCAGGACTGAACTGGTTGGAACTGCTTTCACCTTTTATTCTTGTCGACTTTGCACTCGAGTAATGATTTTTCCCCATTTAAAATCCGTTTTCAGAGACTACTTTAGCTTTGAATATATCTCGTGATCTGACTGAGAAACTCATTAATGGTTTTGAGGAAAATTAATGCTGTCAGTAAGTTGCTCGAAATTGGGGTTGACGAACGTTAGTATCATTTCGTGCTGTTACTTCCATGAAATAATCGCCCATCATTTATGATTCGGGGACAAGGTAAAATAAACTTTTTATGTATCTGTAGAGTTTATGTAAAAGAAAACGTATTGAATAAATAATGGTTTTTTTCCACGTCGGTTTTGTTTATTGACTTCCGGATAAGGGAGCAGCTATTTGTGAAAACTTACAACTTGAATAAAAACGCTTTAAGAAGAAATATATTTCAAAGTTGCTCGGATTAATCTCGATGTCAGAGATAATCTTCCCTAATCCTTAGCGATCGGTGGGAACTGTTTTGTAGCTAGAACATTGACATGATATTAAAATATATCGAAACATCATAAAAATTGTTTTCCCTGCCTTCAATAAAGTTGGCCTTTTTTATTTTCGTTGCGTTGTTCTTTTTTCGTTTGTTCATTCTTTATTTTTTCTTTCTTTCTTTCTTTCTTTCTTTCTTTCTTTCTTTATTTATTTATTTATTTATTTATTTATTTATTTTTTTTTCTTTTCTTTCTTTCTCGTTCTCTTTGGTCTTCCTTTTTTTCTTTCTCGCTCGCTTTCATTCTTTTTTCTTTCCCGCGCTTTTTTTTTCTTTCTTTTTCTCGCTCTATGTCTTTCTTTCTTTCTTTCTTTCTTTCTTTCTTTCTTTCTTTCTTTCTCGCAGTTTTTTCTTTTGTCTTTCTCGCCCTTTCTTTCTTTTTCTTTCTCGCTCTTTCAATCTTTTTTCTTTCTTTTGTTACCTCCTGTTTTGGTCAGTGGGTTGTTTGTTTGTTTCTTTTTTTCCTTCTTTTGTTCGTTTTTCTTTCTCGGTTTTTATTCTCCCTTTCTGGCCACTTTCCTTTTTGGATGTCTTTCTTTTGTATTCATGACTTTCATTTATTTTTGTTCTTCTTCCTTCCTTCTTCCCTTCCTTCCTTGCTTTCCTTCCTTCCTTTCTTCTGTTTTCTCCTTTTATCTGTTTCCTTTTCCCATTTTTTTATCGTTTTTCTTACCCTTTTCTTTTTCTAGCCCTTTTTCTTCTTTTTTGCTGTCTTCCTTTTATTCTTTCGTTCTTTTTCATTCTTTTTTTTTTCGAATTTCTTTCTTTCTGACTTTATTCCTTTTTTCTTTTTTCTTCCTTCTCATTTTCTCAAATATTTGGTCTCTCAAAATTTCTTTATTTTTTATTTTTACTTTTTTGTCAATTTTACAATTTTTTTTTTATTTTTTCTTTTTGGGATTTTACTGTCGTTTGTCTCTTTTTCATCTTCCTTTTTCATTTGCTTCTCTCGATTGTTTTTCCTTTTCTTTTCTTTTCTTTCTCTCTCTTTCTTTTCCAGATTTTATTACACATTCCCCAATCCCACAATCCCAATGTCCAAAACCGATTTTCGACCACTCTATATCCTACTGTTCGACTGACCGGAAATGGACAATAATCTCAGCATGCAATGCCCCACCTGGTCCCAGGTCACTGCCGACCACGCCCCGAACCGTTACCACAGAAAGCAGCATCAAAGGAAACGAAAGGAAACAGCCTTATGTTTTTTACCATAGATTAATCGACCCTTTCCCCCCGACGCTGATAGACAGTTCACCCCCACCTCCCGTGCCTCAAACATCGACTGTGATTTCAGAAACAAATACACTGATTATGCTAACACCCTCATTTGGTTCTATTATTCAGGGCCTCTTTTCAAAAGTTTCTTTCTTCATTCGTTTCCGGTGTCCACTACTCCCCTCCCCAACTACCTCAGAACATAACCCACTCTGATGGACATGACAGACGTTTGGACACTGCCTCATTCCAAATAGATTTACTTCTTGTTAGGGTTTTTTTTTATATTTGATTCCCTTTGGTTAATATCGACATTAATCTATTCATATCTATCTATCTATCTATCTATCTATCTATCTATCTATCTATCTATCTATCTCAGTCTGTTCATATCTATATGTCTATCCTTCTTTTTATTGATCGATCGATCTCAGTCTGTTCATATCTATCTGTCTATCTTTCTATTTGTTGATCAATCGATCTCAATCTGTTCATAGCTATCTGTATGTCTATCTCAGTCTATTCATCTATCTATCTATCTATCTATCTATCTATCTATCTATATTAGTTTGTTATATATTTGTCCATCGATGGATCTCAGTCTGTTCATATCTATCTATATATCTATATATCTATATTAGTCTGTTAATATATATTTGTCTATCTATCGATGGATCTCAGTCTGTTCATATCTATCTATCTATCTATCTATCTATCTATCTATCTATCTATCTATCTATCTATCTATCTATCTATCTGTACCAGTCTGTTAATATATATTTGTCTATCTATCGATGGATCTCAGTCTGTTCATATTTATATCTATCTATCTATCTATCTAGTTCATATTTCTCGCTCTCTATTCATCTGATTTAGTTCAGCTCCCAAAAAGGACTTTTCAATAGATAGTATGGGACACCCAGTCAGGATCGAACTCACTATTCAGTCGTAATTGATTTAGCGAGACAAGCTTGCTAACCATTACAACACATCGAAGTGTCCTACTGATTTTTCACCATCATCCAATCCACTTGAAACAGGCTAAAGATCTCGCTGGCTGAAAACAATCCGCAAAGTATAATGCAGCCGCTTCTCTGCTTGACTGTTACGGCAGGATTCTTTGGGATCCCCTCGTTTTGGGGAAACAAATTTAACATACTTGTACCGAACGCTTTTAGATTTTTTTCGTTTTACCAAAGAAATGATGAACAAAATCTTGCTTCCTTGTCAACACGGTGCAGATCAAAAGCTAGACGACCTTTTAAGTGGCTGGTTTCAAGAATTGCAGGTTTTATTGATTGTCTTTCATAGAAGCCAGCCTATTCCGCTAGACAGTCTACTGAAATATTCCGATACTCGAGTCATTGAAAGTGGTCAAAAGTTAGTTGTTTGTGATGCTTGGATTCCTCTTGACGTCTTAAAGAATCCTTCTTTCTAGAAAAGGTGATGTTTCTTGTTTATTTCCCCGTATTTTAAATTTCTTTTTACGACGGGGACATTCTTGAACTTCTGGATAATACTTGGAACTATTCGAATAGGCATTTGCAACTTCTTGGATATGTCTTTGTAGAATTTCACACATTACGAATAGTTACAATCCCGACGTCCTTATTTACATCTTTATGCTTACCCATGTCGATAAGTTTCCCTCTTGATGAGAAATGGCAAATATTTAAAAATGCTACCCTCTATTTAACTCAAGTTACTATCATTGTTTACATTCGTTTTAAAGGAAGTGAAGAACTCTCTAATGTAAGGAAGGAAAATAAGATCTATGGGCATGAATAATTATGATCACGTCTTTTGTGATGAAATTGCAAATAATTTTTCGAGTTATTTTCTCTCTATAAAAATAAATTTTCATTCTTTGGATGTCAGTATGATAAAGTAATCGGGAGTAATCTCCCTTGTTTTATGATTACCTCCCTTTGGAGAACTCTTTCGTTTGTAGAGGACTATAAATAGTCACTGCGCTGGTATCAATTATTCTGAGCAGAATAAAGCTTCCTTAAACCTATTCTTGTTCTCTTTGTAATTACATTCAGTTTGGAGCATAAAAAATGTACTTCTTTAATAAAATTATTAAAGGAAAACAGAAATATAAGGCTATTAAAACTTCAGGCTAAACTAGTGACCTTCCATTATGATTGAGTAGACCCTGAATCTTCGCCTATCGCGATGAGTGGATGTTGTCTTAGTGAAGCCCCATGCCTTAAGCCCTATTTAATGTGGGGAAGATAAAAAAAACAGGTTAAGATTGTAGTGATCAGGAAAGTATCCTCTTAGAAGTCTGTTCCACTAAGTACCGGTGCCTGTGAAAATGTTGCTCGAGTGTAACTTACATCTTACCAAGGGAATACGAAGACAATGAAGGTAGTTCGCTAAAATGGGTTGTGACATGGCGAGTCTTAACCGTGAAGGCGAGACCTGATGGGAAAAAGCAATGTAGTTCGCCTGAACACTTTCCAGGGAAATTGCGAGAGGCTTGCAATATTTCATCTTTGCGAAAGGGGTTGTAAGGTGGTGAATAATTCATCACCCACAAGGACGCGGAGAAATTTTTGGATTCTATCAAGACTGGACACTGAAGACTGCTGTACTTCATTTTCGGCTTGATCTGACTCTTGCAACGGTAGTGGATAGCAAGATAAGTCCGGTATTCACTGAAGCAGAACAGGAAACCTTCCATTTTTCCATGCATTTTTAGTGATGGATCGTACGTACGAGTTCGACGCAATCTGAATTGAGCTTAACGCCCAATAGAAACTCCCTGAACGAATAAACTATTACAATAGATACCGGCTCTCAGTTTTCATCTGATATTTCCTCTTTACTCACATATCCTGTCCTTGATCTTCTCAGCGTTAACCGTTAAAACTGCCTCTCTGTCGCTTAAAGTCTCTTCGTGACCAGCAGATTGTCAGACATTCACTGCCATATTGGAGATTAGGCATTTCATTACAGTTCAGCACTTGTCTCTCTTTCTTATACTCACAGAGTTTCGGAAATAAATTTCCGCTTAAAGATTCCGTTTAGACATCAGAATATAGTTACTGATCAGCAAAGTTGTCCATAAACTATTCCTGTAATACACAATTTTTAATCATTTCACCCAAAGCAAGGCGGGAATCCCTCTAAAACGCAGGGGGTGTACAAGGTGTGAAAGTGAGAGAGAAGACTGAGAATAGGGAGGGTTGAGGAAAGAACGGGATTAAAGAAGACAGAAAATGGCAATTGACGTTACCTTTAAATTTTTAAAGATTTCAGTTATCAGGAAAGTAATTAAAACGAAAAGAGTTCTACAGGTGGGAAGTTAGAGAAAATAAACTGTTGGAGTAGAAGTTTCAACAGTAAAAGGGTGGGACCTACGTGCCAATCTAGTAGCACGCTTAAATACATATAGTTGGGGGGCACCAAGAAAAAAAAAAGCTCCTAAGAGCTGTTGTAGAAAAGACAGAGGGAAGCCATGTCTTGTCAGTGAGAAAATGACTGAAGTTAAGATGTCTGTTCAGGATCGATTACATTACAGATCTTTGGATTTTGTCAAGAATCTCGAGATGTACAACAGAAGCACCAGACCAGATATAGCAGCAGTATTCAATGCACAGATGAATGGTAGATTTTTAAATGTACAAGATGGATTCTGACGGGAAAATTTTTCTGGTACAACACAGAGATCCAATTTTCTTTGCAGTAGATGCAATTATTGATTCGATGTAGTCACTCCACTTCATCAGTTGAATACGTGAGGTCAAGAAAGCGCAGTGAGTTACTTTCTTGGAGTCTAGCGTCATCCATGCCTGATGGCAGGCAGTAAAGGTTCTCTACAGGGGTTCAATGAAAGCTGTTTTCTTTTGGAGGCGTTAAAATTTATTTCTTGATATTTCTTGATCCATTTACCCATTAATTGGTGGTCAATATGAAGAATTTATTTTGCTTTTTTAAAGGTAAATGTTTTTATATGTATCACAAATAAAACTATAAGAAATGTAAATAAAATTATTTTTAAAACTAATGAATTTAACATGTAAAACAGAATATCTTACAAATACAACATAAACAATATCATATACAGGGCGTCCATAAAGTCTCTTTACAATTTAAAAAAAAATATTACAAAAGCAAATGAACAGACAAATAAGTAGAAATACTTACAAAATGAGGAGTAGACATTGAAGGTTTTTTTTAAATTAATTTAATCCACCTCTCTACAGGCAGGGTTATATCAACGATGATATCAAGAGGGTACTCGATTTCTTGCCATGTTCGTTGTAGCACAGTATCATCAGTGATGACAATGGCATCAGTGATCTTTTGCTTGAGATCAGTGATGTCCCGTATCTTGGTTTGATACAAGATATCTTTAACATAACCTCATAAAAAGAAGTCCAGTGGCGTGATATCTGGTGAACGAGGTGTCAAAGGAATTGGGCCATCCCTTTCCAATCCACCGCTCTGGAAATATTAGGAGTTTATTTAACAGTACCTTTTTCATCAACAGGGTACCTGAAATACACAAATATATGATTAAAAACTTTGATAACTACTGAATACATAGAACAAATCTGATTAAGATATTTCATCAATTGCCTTTGTAATATATTTTTTAAATTGTAAAGAGACTTTATGGACACCCTGTAAATCTTATATAATTTCTTGGATGAGGATGCATCATTATTAACATTTGAACTATTGTCCTTATCTTTGTTGTTTTTATCGCAACGTTTCGGCCGTTATGTGCTCGAGGCTTGTCGATCCGAGTGCCTTCAGGGAACTTCGAACACTATTTAATCTACGGGTGTACACTTTTCTCCTTCTGACTTTCATGTCTGGGGATATGTCGTCTTTTTCTTATTTAGTACTCCTGATATATGGATTGTCCTTTTTTCCACTATGTCGACATCTGCACTACCTGAGTCAGGCATTGAACTCACGCTTGCTATGCCACTCTATTCATGAACCAAGGCTTTAATACTGTAGGCCATTGTCCAGCAAGGAACAACAATATGTCCAAGAGACGTAACTGGATTACTTTAACGAAAGCCTTTATCCACTGCACGATGTGGATAAAAGCGTCGGTCGAAGTAATCTAGTGACTTGGCCAAAAGAGTTGTGAGTTCAATACTTGGCCACAGCAGAGTTGAATAAAAACTTGGAGATTTGAGTTAGTAAAAGGAAATAACAGAAATTGAGATATGGAAGAGGCATGGCACGTGGGACTAGAACAATCTACTCTGGTGGACGAGATTATAGGTTTCGGTTCGAACTTCCAACGTATATCACCTGAAGAAAGCCGGAGCGTACAACGGCCGAAACGTCGCGAATATGAGAATAAAGATGAAGACAATAGTCTTAACAATCTAAATAGTGTAAATAGTGACAATACCTCATCTCAGAAATATAGACAGATATTGAAGATATATAACATATAAGTAAACAAACATGAATGAGTTAAAAGATTTAAATTCGCCGTATTTAACGGAATATCTAATAAATGTAACATGTATAACGGAATATCTAATAAATGTAACATGTATAACGAAATATCTAATAAAGCAAACCACATAAGATGTAAATAAATAAACATGAATGTGTTTTTTATATAGAAATAAAGTGTCGCTGCTGACACTTGAGTTTGAACAACAAAGGTGATTCCATTATTGAATTAGGTAGACCACGTGACCATAGAGGAAACACATAAGTAGGAAATCACGTGACGTCTAATTGATCTTTATTTCTAGTTTATCCTCTATTACTATACGGGCCGCTATTCTCGACTCTATTCTCTATACTATTTCTTTATACTGATCACTATTCAGTGGTTACTTTACGAGTATTATCTAGTAATTACTATTAGTGCGAGTGTTATTC